TGAGCCATTCTAACTGGGGTGAGGTGAAACCTCATTGTGACAAAAGATAACTGTTGGTCATATCATGGCATATTGTTCACCCGTAGAACAGTTGTGATATGAAAAGAACCAAAAATAATTATTATAAGGGAATTCCTTGAAGATAAGTATTCTGTGCTCAGTGTTAAGGCATGAAGTCTCTTTCCAAAAGGAAAGATGTAGAATATATTGTGCTGTGATTTTTTTTTGTAGGAGTATTAATGCAGTTTATTCCACATTATTCCCTCTCTTATCCTCTCCTGTCCTCAGTTTTCATTTCCTTTGTGAACCAGGTGTGAAAATGAGATAAAGAAAATCTTAAAATGTTATAATGGAAGGTATGACTTGGGCTTGTACCAGTTACAGAGAATGATTTCTAATTGATGTTTTCCCATGCACCAGTAAATTTATGACAATCTTTAATTGTTTTATTATTTGCTGCTTTCCTCGTTTACTTCAAATGTAACTATAATCAAACTGTATTCTATAGGAGCAAACCCTGCTCTCTCTCACCTTGTGATAGTAAAGTGATCTACAAGATCTGCAAAACCCAAAGCACACAAATGCCTCCTCATACAACTGCAAGCTCTCGAAAAGCACACACACATAAGACAGAGCAACTCATTGAAACAAATCCTAATGTGAAAGATTTATACCAGATTAAATAAAACTGTAAAAATGACTATTAGCATTAGCCTTAAAAAATGACATCTTAAGGTTCACACTCTGGTAGGTCATTATCTCTTCTTTGCATCTGAATGACACTTTGGGTCAAGACAGAAGTACATTATGTTGTCTTATCTTCCCACTTATGGAGAAGCTATAGTACTTAGGCTTTGCTGTCACAAATAATAACCAGTGTTCTTTCCATCTGAATGCCTGTTTTCTTATCAGGGGAATAAAGTATAGATAACATCAGGTTTGTGCTATTTCAACTTAAGACATTTCAGGTCTGATAGGAAAATGTTGTCAGTTTTTCTTATGCTCATTTAAGCAAAAGGATGTATGTGCTGATTTTTTGAATGTTAAATTTAGTTCCTCCTCTCTACATCTCACACTTTTTTATAATTTTTTCATTTTTCATGTTAATGTAGTATTAATATGGAGAACAAACTCAATGAAGTTTATAGATGCAATTCTTCTTTTAAAGGTTTTTATTTGAAGGCAGAATTGCAGAGGCAGAAAGAGGGGGAAGAAGAGGGAGAGAGGGAGATATTTAGGTCTTCCATCTGCTAGTTCACTCCCCAGATGGCCACAATGGCTGTAGCTGCACCAATCTGCAGCCAGGAGCTTCTCCCCAGTCTCCCACACAAGTGCAGGGACTCAAGGACTTGGGCCATCTTCCACTGCTTTCCCAGGCCATAGCAGAGAGCTGGATCGGAAGAGGAGCAGCTGGGATTAGAACCAGTGCCCATATGGGATGCTGGCACTGCAGGCAGTGGCTTTACCCGCTACACCACAGCGCCAGCCTCCATACATACAATTCTAAGGATATAATGATACTCACACCTATTTAAAGCCACTATCACAATACAAGTAAATGAGCAGCTGTGGGTCATAGAGTCCCTGGGATTAGAAGCTGCCTATTTGTCTACCATTGGATCCCTACTGTCTCCCACAAGGCCTGGATCATAAGTAGTGCACAGGAATATGTGTTGGACCATTGACTGAATTTTTATATATTTAAAGTATCTCACTTCAAAAAGATGAGTGTAAATGTCATTGAGTCAGTGTAATAGCAATTTTAGAACTCAGTAAGCAGAAATTGTATTGAAATGTCCAAAAAACAAACTCATATGCAAGCCTTAGTCATGCCCTTACTTTAGAGACCAAACTTTAGACTGCCATTCTCTCTGTCCCACTGATGGATGTTCCGTGTCTCTCATATCCATTCTATACTCACACAAGTACACAGTACTGGAAATATATTTTCGCTCGTGTTCAGCGAAAGAATAATGTTCAATAGTAGTGAGTACCTAACTGAAGGCAAATGCTCACTATGATACAGAGTATAAGTTACGAAACACCACTGAGTATAATTCTTTAATATACTAGCAGCATTTTCAGTGGTCACAGCTCAAAGAAAAAAAGTTGTTTCTTAAATTAAAAAAAAATAATATTAAGCCATACAATGATTCAGACACTGTTTCAGATGCATTAAACAAATTCCTTTAGCATTTTAATTTTAGTAGAAGAAGTGAGAGAATAATAGGCAATAAACTAATACATCCTGTGTCAGACGGTGATTAATGATAAAAAGGAAAAAAAAATCGCAGGGGCACAAGGACCAGAGAGCAAGCTGGAGAAGGTGGAAGTATGTTTTGTTCATGGTGGTTTGCGTTTATTCGGGAGATTGAAACTAATAACGTCTTTTAAGCTGATCTGGTGCCGTCAGTCGATTACTGAACATCACCCAGTCAAAGGAAAGCAGGCATGAGAATACCAGTGCTGTGTGACATGTGCATTCCTACTCCTTAGTTCTGGATAATGTCAGTTGTCATTGGTCTGAGACAATCTGAATCCAATGGTGGAACCATAGATGTTTACCCCAGTGAGAAGAATTATCCAACGCTGTTAGGACTGTGCGGAAGGTGGCAGTCACAGATGCAGTCGAGCCAAATGCAGCAATGGAGATGGAAGAGTCCCTGCAGGGAATGGACGGAATCTCACCCAGACGACCTTTTCCTTTTCAAGTCTTCAGTTTGCAACCTGCCCTTTGTGCTGTTGTAAAGCCAGTTAAGTTTGATTTTTTTTAAGAACTGAGAGCCCAGTCTTTTATTGTTTTGTTTTGTTTTTAATTTGTTTCATTTATTTGAAAGGCAGAGAGAAAGAGAGAGAGAGAGAGATCCATCCATCCATCCATCCATCCGCTGGTTCACTGCTGTTTGGCTACAAGAGCCATGGCTGGGCCAGATCAAAGCCAAGATCCAGGAGCTTCCTCAGGGTGTCCAATGTGGGTAGCAGGGGTCCAAGCACTTGGGGCCATCTTTTGTGACTTTCCCAGGCCCTTAGCTGAAAGTTGGATCAAAAGTGGAGCAGCCAGGACTCAAACTGGGGCCCGCATGGGATGCCAGTGTTGCAGGCAGTGGCTTTATCCATAATAATACTGCTGGCCCCAAGTTTGGTTTATTTAAGAAATTGTTGCTAAATAAAGTAGTCCATAGTTGGGGGTGGGAGGTAGAAACTGAGCAAGCGAGCTATTCTCTAAACCCTATCTTTACTATAGGCTGCCTCCAGGACATATTCTTGTAAAGTTCTGCATTCTATCCCAGCTCAACAAATTCAAAATGTTTATTAGTTGCCTATTAATGTGGCTGGTGCTGTGACACAGTGGATTAAAACTGCAGCCTGCAGCACCAGCATCCCATGAGGGAACTGGTTCCAGTCCTGGCTGCTCCACGTCTGATCCAGCTCCCTGCTAATGTGCCTGGGAAAGCAGCAGAAGATGGCCCAAGTCCTTGGGACCCTGCACCCATGTGGGAGACCTGGAAGAAGCTCATGGCTCCTGGCTTTGGCTTAGCCCAACCCCGGTCAGTGCAGCCATTTGGGGACTGAACTAGCAGGTGGAAGATCACTCCCTCTGTGTCTCCTCCTCTCTGCCTGCTAACTATGCCTCTCAAATAAATGAATAAATCTTATAAAAAATTCCTACTAATTCTAAACCTTGTGAAAAGTTGGAAAATGTAGCTCCTTTCATCCAAATCTGCTCAAACATATGCCCTTAGTATTAAAATTTACTTTTTACTACAGATAATTGGAGCTCACTTTCCTGAGTTGTAAATATAGGGAAGTAATGTAAGCAAACCCAGGTCATCTCCATATTTCATCTTTTCCTAGAATTTCCTTTCCTAGCCTTATTTTACACTATCCAGTTTTTAGGAATAGTTACATAATGAGTGATTGGCATTGTTAAGTGCATGTGTTAAGTTTTCACTTGGTGAATACATCATAGCAACATTTTTTTGGCTGCATCAAACATGATAAAACACACTTTTTGTTCATCTAGAATTATCATTTCAACTTTGATAGCCATGATGCAGCCTTGCTCTATTGTATACAAAAAATGAAATACAACATTCAAACTCATGTTTATTGGTGTGAATATTCACACCAACATATGTGTATGGGTATGTGAGACAGAGGATGAAGAAATAAAAACCTTAATTTCTTGATACCCAAAATTACTCTCCTAAGAAGCAACAGCATTTCTGTAATTCTCATCAGACCCAAACTATCACATCTCACCCCAAGGTCAAATTTGAGTGTACCTGGAATTTTCTGCCCATGTGTGAACTCTACCATCAGAAGGGTGTACAGCAATGATTCCAAGTGGAAGAGGAGCTCTAAGAAGATGCTACAAGAAATGGGAGAAGAAAAAGTTAGGAGAAGCAAAGCCTGCACATGCAGTGACCCGAGGACATGGCTTCAGCCCCTCATCACGGGCAGCCTTCGTTCTGATGTCACACTCTCTTACCCCATTTGCCATGTATTTTTTGCCTGGTTACAGCAATGAACAACAGATTTTTTTTCCTTTGAAGCACACTCCAAACCCTTATGGGATCTCAGTTTTAAGAGCCCTTCTCTTAATTAATCTACAACATTGGTTATAATTAAAAGTGATTTTATCGCTCATCAGTTATTATATAAAGTCACCCTGAGGACTGAAAAAGATGAGCTACTATGACTGGAGAGATATTTTTAAAGCTGTTTCAAAAATCAGACAGAAAAGCAGTAATGAGGCTTAAAAATGAGACTGACCTCACTCATTTCTTGTACAAGTTCATGAAAAGTTGAATTAAAGGATAAGTTTATTTTGTTGTCAAGAAAAATGGAACTCAAGCATAGTTTTCATCTTTTCAAAGTATCATAGTACACTCCCTCATCTGTTGCTAAGAATAGGAAAAAGATTACTCAATGGCTCTTTTTCCAGGTACTCCAACATTTCGGCACTGATTGATGCCCTGTGTCTCTTTTGGTCCCAGGAGTCTTGGTTGCCAGCGGGTGACCCTGCATAAGAACATGTTTCTGACTTACATTCTGAACTCTATGATTATCATCATCCACCTGGTTGAAGTTGTGCCCAACGGCGAGCTGGTGAGAAGGGATCCGGTAAGCACTGCACGGTTCTGTCTTTCGTTCTATTCTGAAGGAGATGGCACCTGTAAACAGTGAACAGGGTGCTCATGTTTGATTTAATCAGAGGTTATGTGTGTGGTCATATTGACTTTCACAGTGGAATTTTGTGTTAAGCCACGTAGTCCACTTCTTTGTAGTTCTTGGAAGTAATTGTTACATGTTTTGTTAAAAGGCTGGGAATATTTGCATCATAATAATTAAATGGAAATGGTGAGATAAATCATGAATTTTTTGTGACTAATAATTCAGTAACATCTATGAGAAGTGTACTGAGTCATTTTGTGGACCTGGACGACACCGTGTACATTAAGGCAGTGCTTCCGTGTCCCCGGTGTGCCTAGATGCTGACCCCTGGTGCTCTGGTGCCCAGCGGGGGTTGGGCTGGTCTCTTCACTGTGAGCAGCTGTGTGCGTGCTCTAATGAAATGTATCAATGTCCATCTCTAAGTCCACATACTTGTAAAAAGATTTGTACTACAATAACGGATCGCAAAAGGATTTGGGGGCAATAGGACATAAGTCCATGCAATTCTTATTCAGGTGTGCCATGGTCACATGCAAATCCTTCCATTTGAGTAGTCTAGAGAACACAAGGGCTGAAATCACTTAGCTCCACACTGAGAACCGCTCTGGAACCCTACTCCCGGAAATGTCCCAAGCGTTGTTACCAGCAACTCAAATTGGTCTCCAATCTGTCTCTTTATCACCAACTTTGTGGTTTTCATAGTGGTTTCCCAACCCGGCTGCACTTCAGAATCAACAAGGGAACTTTTGTAAATATTAGGTCACTGCTGTTTCGGGATGCTAGAGATTCAGTAGGTACGCAGTGAAACCGAGTTGGGAAATCATTGGCCAAAATGTACTTGCAGGGGAGGGCAAAGGAGAAGGACCCTGCAGCTTTGCTGGTTCACTAATATCAGTCCCTGAAAACATTGGGAGGTTGTTTTGTCCTGGCTCCTCATTTTACAGATCATGAACCTGAAAAAGACAAAGTGATTTGCTGAATCTCATGTACCGTGGGGAGCAGGGAGTCAAATCGCTTCTTCTTGCTGTCAGCTTTTTGTTCTCTCTGTGATACCATTGTGGCTCCAGTGATGAGTCCGTGAGGGCTCAGCAACACCACACTAGTTGACTAGGTTTCCAAATCTAGAAGATTGACTTTTGGAAAGTGCTGCAATACCAAGTAACTACTTACTTTACATAAAGGCTCACTTACCCATTGACTGTACAAGTGATGCACAGTGGTAGGTTTTATTGATAGTAATTTTGCCCTCAGTAAACATGTCCATTTCAAAATATCCACAAACACTTCTCTGCCACCTTCTTTGCCAACCTCCCTCCCTTCATTTTTGACAGTAAATCTTTTCCTTACCCATTAATGGTCTGCACTTGAATTCGATGACCCAAATCAAGTTAGTAATGTAACTATTTATAAGATTCCTTATGAAGTGGCCAAGATTTGATCATTTTTATCTTGCAAAATCAACAAATCCCTCTGTTTCGTACAAATATAAATATGTGGCCAGTACAGTGTGGGCTAGCAGCAGCAGGGACAGTCTCCACCCTGAGGCTGAATGCATGATGGGAGGGAAAGATGTAGGGCTGTGAAGGCAGAGAGGTGGTGTGGTGAGGACTACCCTCCAGGACTTGAGACACAGCCAGCCTGCAGCAAGCCCACAAAAGGAAGTTGGAAAATAAATACCACTGTTCACTCCCTTCCATCCCTCAACTCTGCTCATGGACCTCATTAACTGAGCTCAACCAGAAACCAGAGGGCAAGGGAGCCCTGTGAGACGCAGAAATGTGTTTCTCTGGGCCCTGGGCAAGGAGAGCAGGGTAGGAAGTGCATGTGGAAGAACACACAGAAGCTGTGTAGCGCAGTGAATGGCCAAGGGATATTTTCCTTTGTGTTTCTCTGCTCAGCTGTGTTATGCAAGCATCTGTAGATAGCCTCATCTTTCAAAACTGGCTTTTGACAGTTCTGCCAACTCCATGACGAAAATGCGTGAAATCTGCCCCTAGCATGCGTCCTGCGTGAGAGCGGCGTGGCATGGGAAAGCAGCTGCAATTGGCTTTGGATGAACCCACAGTGTTAATAACTTTTGCAGTGTGATTACATCCAGAAAGGCATTATGGTCCACCTTTACACCATGATACCTGTTATCAGAAGCAAAGTCCAGTCACATGCAGAATAATGGACAAATGGGTTTACCTTGACAAATATACTTTTTTATGTTGACTGACTTAAGTAAAATCCATCCCATTGAATGTAATCCTTACAAGACCCAGCTGAGTGGTGGATTTTATCCCCATGTTGAAAGCTAAGCAAACTGCAGATGGGTGCTCTCCACACTGTGAATAGTTGGAGATGGGATTGAAACACAGACGTGTGTCACGCCCAGGCCAGCCTCTCCTTTCTAGCCACGTGGTGCTATCGATGGTCTTTGTTTCATTAGGAAGTTGTGCTCTTAAACGGGCTCAGCCATTTCAAAGACTGACCACAGTGGAAAAGCACACGACCATTAATTTGGGAAGCTCATCCCACTGTGTTTAAAACAGATCTGTCACAGCAGAGGATGGTCAAATTTTGGCTTTCTATTTCCCGTCAAAGGAGAAAACCCTAGGAAAGTTACTGTCTATAGGAAGTAGGCTAGGAAATGGATCTTTAGTTACTAAATCATCAACCACACCGACCTAACAGCAACACTCAAATTATGAAGTATTGTGTATTCTTAAACAGACTCTTCCATCTCTCTTTTGAAGGCATTACACCCATTTCTGATGCCTTCAACTTGCATCCCATTCTTGTCCACTGAGATCCTGCAAGACCTTTCTTCCTGAAATAGTCTAAACCGAGGCTTTTTTCTGAGTTTGCTACTAAATCTTAGAAGCCATTTAATTATGTCCATCAATGAGAATAACAAAAACTGTTCTGTATACTTCCAAGGGATTCGCCTGAGTCCCTAAGAAATATAACACTTTGTAAAACTCCCAAGGGTGTAACATTGCAAACAGTCTTCCATGAGGTTGCTTGTGAACCCTTGACTTGTGGCTAACTTCCTAGGTCCTTTTACTTGGCTTCCACAAATCTGTTACTCTTTTCATTGCTCTTAGTGGTCTCATAGGTTATCATTGCTGGGAGGTTTTGCTTTTTTAGGATGTCTAGGGGCAGATGTGCCTAGGCACTCTGCCAGTCATGGCACATCTGCCTCCCAGCCACCACCAAGAAGCCCAATCTGCCCTGCAGCTCCTCTATTGCCTAGTAACCTTTTATAAAGCCTGGAAACTGGTGTCTGGGGACCTGGCTTTGCCATTATGCAGCTGATCTCCTGGGAAAATCTGAGTGTGAGCTCAGGGAATCAATGGAGATTAATAGTAAGCTTTCATCTGGGTGTGAAGAAGGTTGATTCTCCCAAACCTATTAGGTATTCCTAAAATAAGTGGTAGAAAAGGAGGTTGATCTTTGTAGCATGACTGGCAGCTGCTTCTCACAATCAGCACATTTTTAACTTAACAGAATTGTTCACTGGAGCCACGCAAGAACAAACATCATCAGGAAATTCTATAAAACACTTGGAATTAGAATTTTATCCTCTCAATCTTTTTAGAACACCCAAAACTCAAATGTGAGTCCTCAGGCTGAACTGAATTCATACTATTTTCAGAAAATATCCATGTATGATATCCCCTTCACAATCCTTAGAAATGAACCAAGACTGGCTGGCGCCACGGCTCACTAGGCTAATCCTCCGCCTGCGGCGTGGGTACCCTGGGTTCTAGTCCCAGTTGGGGCACCAGATTCTGTCCCGGTTACTGCTCTTCCAGTCCAGCTCTCTGCTGTGGCCCGGGAGTGCAGTGGAGGATGGCCCAAGTCCTTGGGCCCTGCACCCGCATGGGAGACCAGGAGGAAGCACCTGGCTCCTGGCTTTGAATCAGCGCAGCGCGCCAGCTGTAGAAGCCATTTGGGGGGTGAACCAACGGAAAAGGAAGACCTTTCTTTCTTTCTCTCTCTCTCTCTCTGTCTGTCTAACTCTGCCTGTCAAAAAAAAAATGAACCAAGGCTTACATGGAATGAGAGTATGAGCATAAGGAAGCCAGAAAAATTAACAATAAACTTGTAACCACACATGTGGGTTCTGTCATATGTTTGCCTATCTCAAAGAGGCTTTTAAATTTGAAAGAGGAGCAAAAACATCTGGATAATTTTCTGTGTGCCTAAACAAAGTTCTTCCTTTCTTCCAAGGTAAGACAAAATGAGATTAAGTTGTCAACATCAAAGCCACTTGCAACAGTAAAAGGGCCAGAGACATAATGTGACAGTCCACTCTGCCCTCTTTCCCATTTATGTTAGACAAAACTTGGAAACACATGCCTCTTACCAAATAAATGTAAGTAGTATAGGCCAAAACCAAATGACTATGATAACAAAATTAATTCATGTTTATACATTGTGAGGGACACTATATCCAGAGGAAAGAAACTAGGTCATTTGTTTTCAGTACTTTCTCCATTTGAACACAGGCATTGTTTTCCATGGAGACTTTCGTTAAATCTCTTATCTAGCCCTCCATTTCCCAGCAACATAGAGCATTTCTCTCTAGGCAAGCAAAATTAGTTCAAGAAAAGAGAGGAAAGGACTCCCAGGTAGACATGTTTGAAATGTTGCTATTCCTCGAAACTGCTTATTTAGTAGCTCCAAGAGATGTGGGCGTGATGAAGTCTGTACTGTGTCTCAGCTCGAGAGCTCGCATTCTGGGACCCGCACTGTAGCACAGCAGGTTAAGCTGCACCGGGGACACCTGCATCCCATGACAGGGTGCTGGTTCAAGTCCCAGCTGCTCCGCTTCTCAGCCAGCTTCCTGCTAATGCACCCTGGGAGGCAGTAGATGATGGTTCAAGTGTTTGTGTCCCTGCCACCCACGTGTGAGGCTCAGATAGAATTCCTACCTCCTAGCTTCAGCCTGCCCAGCCCTG